CACGAAGCAGCATTTTTTATAACATTAGGTGTGTCTGCGTCGACACTTATTATATCCCCCAGTTACGTGTTAGGAAGAGAAGGCGGAACAGGATAGCAGACAATAGTTTACTGTGACTAATTCTGCGTTTACATAAGCTCTGTCTACTGTGTGTTCGGCAGCTTGGTCTTCTGTGTCCGTCTGCAGCGTGTAATCTGTCATCAGTCTCGGCTAACAGAGTCCCTTGTCTCCAGCCGCAGTAACCTCGGGTTGTCAGCAGCGCGTCTCGGCCACAGAGTGCGCCTTCTATTCGCGGCGTCGTATTTAGGACCAACAGCCTTTGTTCCCCATTGGCCCCTCTGCATGCAGCCATTATGGGGTGTCCGCAGGATGACGAGTCTCGCCCTCAGAGACGCACGCACGTGCATGCGTCCTTTCGCGGCCCTTGTCATGCGTGACCTCAGAACCCGGCCGGTGGCAGTCCTTCCATCCTCGGGTGCCGGTCTTTGAAAGTCGCTCTTTTTGCCTGCTCTACATGCGCCGGTGGCCTGTTCGACCCCTTTGTTCTCGTGCCGTCAGCACGTACCGAGTTATGACTAGCGTGCTGGGCCATCCTAACAATTTTCGTAAGAATGCTTTTGTAAAATAATAAAAGCCTTTTTACGTAAAAAGCTGTTCGAAAGCATCTGACTCAATCTTTGGAGTGTTTGGCAGCAAATAAAAACGTAAAAACTGTATATACCAGCTTGACAGCACACGCAGCAAGAAATGGTCACGCCTAGAAGCAGTTGAAGACAAAACACTTTTTGTAAAGGTAAACGAATGCAGCATATTATAGTGCTCAATCAAAGTGCCGCTCATGTTTTACGAAGACGAAGTATTGCTTAACCGATATTAGTAAGAAAGTGAAGATGCAATCGTTAGAAGTAGGAGTCTGTTCGCTTGACGTCTTGGATTTTCACCGAAACGCATCATCAAGCATGTTCCTTTGATTAAATTGTGAAACATACGTGGCCTCGGTGGGGTTCGAACCCACATCACCAAGTGGGCTACAAAGGTTTTGAAGTTAATCAAACTTTGGTCAGTTTATCCGCCCAGAGTACTGCACGTATGGAATCCGCCAGTACGGATATAGTAAGCTAGCTGCCAGTTAGGATTTCCTAAGTAATCATCAAGAATCCACCGGATGGAATAACAGACTAACCTTCATGTTTAGGGGATCGGCAGATTTGAATATATTAGTTGCCCTAATTGTGAAAGATTCGTGACCTCGGTTGGATTCGAACCTACCCCAACGTGGAGGGCTTTGATACAGCTAACGCTCTACAAATTGAACTAGGAAGGCACGCAAACAGTCGGGAATTTAATCACGCTTGTACTAAAGCCTTCCCTGTTGATTTGGGCTCAAAGGCGATCGAGGCCAAGAATTATTCAAATCTGTCAAACTCTCCTAATAATCATCTCCTATGCGCGATGTACTCGGTACATAGTTCGCTGGCCAGCAGACCCTTACCGAGCGCAATCACCTCAACCCGTTCCCGTATCCGGCAAAACTTTCTTGCAGTGCAGCCTAAGTGTGTATAGTACGGCTCAATGAATGAGGAAGAAGAAGAGAATCTTGCTTTATTTAAAATGAACTATCAGACATTTTCAGCGAAAAATGGCTCCATTCACGGACAGCAAAGAATAGGTTAAGTAATGGGTCATGGTAAAAGGTAAAAGGTCACGTAATAATCAAAATTAAAATTTTACATGATATCCACATCTACTATGGAGACAGATCAGCTTTCAACTTCTCAATTTCCGCCTCTTCACACGGGAGGTAGCGTGCTAGGAATAGGAGTGCCGAGTTCTGATATGTTGGTGTGCGGCAAGAGATATGACGGAAGCCTCGGCGCATGGGACGGGAAGACTTCGCAGTCATTAGTAAAGAGTGGAAAGGGTGAGCGACCTCATAAAGGATGCGATCAGCGAATTTCTTGACCGTTTTAAAGTGGCGCTGTCTTATGATGTCGGCTAAAAGAAACATAAGAGACACCGGCAGCTGAAGAGAGTATTCGGAGGCTACGTTAAAAAATGACTAGGTCTTTTTAAGTAAGGCTGGAAAAATAACTAGAGAGCAGTAAAGAATGAGGGGGAGAATACAGGCATCTACAAAATCCCAGATTAGGGCTTGCGGTGTGTTATATGAACACAAGAGGCGGATATAAGATAAATTTGATAAATTTGATAAAAATGCCTTCTACATGAAGAGCAAATGTAAGGTTGGATGCTAGAGTAACACCATAGTATCGGAAAGAGGATATCTCATAGGGCAGAATGTCAATCTAATATAAGGATAATATAGCTCCTTGAAGAACTCCGCAGTTGTTAGGAAGGACCATGGAATTTCACTTGCCGCACTGAACGAATCGATTGCGGAATGTGAAATAGTCCCCAAGCCGAGAGACAGCTCAGCCGGGAGAACCTCATGCAGAAGTTTTATTAAGTAGAAGAGGGCGCGGGATCGTATTAAAGGCTAAGAAGTAGTCAAGCAAAACACATCCATATGCACGGTAGCCCTTATCTAAATCTCTTAGAACAGAATGGACTACCAA